GTAGAAAATTGACCAATCACAGTTGATTATTCTTCTCATATTCGACTGTGATTGGTCAATTTTCTACGACTTAAGACCCTACGACCGCTACGACTTCAATTGTAGATCCCGCATTATTGGTTACTATACGTGAAGTGTGAACTGTCAAAAGAGTGCCGATACCGTTCGTGATGTCAATGGCTGCGTTCAGCAGACTCAACAGTTTTGCAATCATTTTATGATTGTCTGCTGAGATAGGACCATTCTTCTAGATCTAAAAGTATGATCCAATTAGCGCGAAGGAAACTTCCAACAGTTGCAAAACAAACGTTCTGCTGAACGCAACCATTCTCATGATGTCACATTAAGAAAACTACTGAAGGGACTACGAAACGTGGACAAAATTCAATGCAGAGAAGAATACATTCTCGTGTTTTCGGTTTAACCTGTAAAGTTTGTGATTCATAAAGTATATATTTGTTGGATACTCGGAGTTTTGAAAGTGCTCGTGCGGACAATTTGCACGTAAATTGATATGGCAATATAACGTAGTGCGATCATCTGCGTAGGAAAACATTGCAACTGCAACAAGTATTAATTGCGATTTTAACAAGGTGTGCATCTTTTGAAATAGGTATTATATTTATATAATTTGTGTAACATGTATTATATAGTTTGTTTAACACCTGTGAGTTTTATTTATGTTTGATATATTATGGCTTTTTAGCACCATGGAGTGGCTATTCGGCAAGCGTATCACTCCTGAGGAAATGCTCAGGAAGAATCAAAGGGCATTGAACAAAGCGATGCGGGATTTGAAAGAGTGAGAATGGAGCAACAAGAGAAGAAAATTATAGCGGATATAAAGAAACTTGCAAAAGATGGACAAATGGTAATCTACAACTTCTGTTTGATTGTTACAATATTATACCGTGATCTTTTTTAAATTGATTGTAGGACGCTGTGAAAATTATGGCTAAAGATCTGGTCAGGACAAGGCGTTACGTGAAGAAGTTTATGTTGATGAAAGCAAATATTCAAGCAGTGTCGTTAAAAATACAAACCCTACGTTCTCAGAACACGATGGCACAGGCCATGAAAGGAGTGACCAAAGCAATGCAAAATATGAACAAGTAAGTGCATCATATTTTATCAATGTGTCAATAATTTTGTTTTATTATTGAGACATTTTAATATTTGTTTGAAAGTATAATTACTAATTATTTATTACTTATTTAGTATATATATATTTTTTGTTGAATATCGATCAGCTAATCTCTATTTCTTATTTCTATTTTTTTATAGACAACTAAATTTACCTCAAATACAGAAAATATTACAAGAATTTGAAAAGCAATCAGAGATAATGGATATGAAGGAAGAAATCATGAACGATGCAATAGATGATGCGATGGAAGATGAGGGAGATGAAGAAGAAAGGTATCAAGTTTTTTTATAAATATACATAAATTCTATAGCCGATATTCTTTGTCCATTCTTATTTCAAGATTATTTTAAATAATGTCTTAATATGCTAATAACGATTCCTCATTGGAGGTATCGGTTCCCGATACCTTAAGACTGTACTTAAGACAGTTTTAAATATAAGAATGGACTGTGAATATCAGCCTAAGTGTAAATTATTGGAATAAGGTCTCCATTTCTTCGTTTAAATTATTGAATCTTCAGCAAATGTGTGAAGTCCAAATTATAGATAAAATTATAAAATATGTATCTTTTATAAATATAGTGTATATGTATTGACGTTTTATTTTCTCAGTGATGCTGTAGTCGCGCAGGTGTTGGATGAGTTGGGTTTACAGTTGACGGGTCAACTCTCTGGACTACCACAAGCATCTGGATCGCTCAGTGTAGTCGGTTCTAAGCAACCGGTCGCCGCTGCAGCGGGTAACGAGGAAGGAGGAGGCAATCTTCCGGACGCTGACGCAGATTTACAAGCTAGACTGGAGAATCTGCGACGCGAATAAATTAAGATTTTAAATATTATTAGTTAATGTATAAAAAGTGTAAAAAGAATTGGCTTTATAGCGATGAGAATAGTTTCGAAGCGGTTCGTTCCTGCCTTCAAATACATATACACTTAAATGTATATGAATTTTTAAAAAGAATTGTTTGCATACAATTTTATTGAACGATTAGTCTTCGTATTTTCTACGCATGTTGAATTTTATAACTGCTTCTATACTTAACATTCTCTGTAAATGCCTAAGTTCGTAATATATAGATATATATATATATATATATACATATACAAAAAGATATTGTATAATAAAATATATGACTACAGAGAAATATACTCCTTTATTTGGATCAAATCGATATTCGGTATTAAATTAATTTTTTTACCGCAATTAATATTTTTAAATATTTAATTTTTATAATATTTGTAAATTAATGTGTGTTATTACAATTAATATTTGTAATTCATTCTACTTCATGTCTAGAAAAAAGATTTTCTCTCAATATTGGATCTAAGGAGGGCTAGACTGAATAATTACCAAGATTTAGATATAGATTTGAATTTTTATAATTCCGACATAGGTTTATAAAAACTTCCAACTCTCCTGTTCTAATCGTTCGATAAGCTCGATAACGATGACCGAAGGACAACTATCGTAGCGGTAACTTATCGACGTGACTCTCATTCGGCAGCGATGACTTGCAGGAATTCTCGGTGTTGGCGACACGGAGGTTCGCGCCGGCCGATGTTCGCGCGTTAGATAACAGATATTTACAATTTCCTCGATCGAGAAAAATTGACCCGTTCAATGTAAGTGAAAAGATTGAAAAAGATATGCCAGAAGACGAAAGAAAGACGAGGAAAGGCTATAGTGACCCCAAAGGTTTAATTGAGAATTGAGGCTACGGACGTCGAGGGTCAATGTGCCATCACACAAATTTCGGGAAGGAGAAGGGAGAAGAAAGATAATAATGTAATGAATTGTATCTCGTTCGTGAACGTTTTGTCACGATCGCCCTTTGGCCGCGATACACATATGTGTGTCACAATTACGTCTACGCTACTGTGAGGAAAATAGCACGTGGCATCGAGATAGTTCCTCGATACAGCACGAGTTGTCGGACGTCGAATCGACCTTGCCGGGAAGTCTGGCGACGGACGTATCTCGAGGAGGACACCAGAGGACACGTCGAGACCACGGACGAGACTTCGAGAGGCGGTCTCGTCGCGCGATAAGATACGGTTGGATCATGATAAAACGTCACTCAAATTCACGTTTCACAAACGGTACGTACATCTCAATGTCAATATAAGGTGCCATTTAGGAAAGTGTTTAGAAACTTCACTGAATGTTAAACAAGGATAAAATAGGTGTTTTTTTTTGGCTGAACTTTTGCACCAGTTCATCTTTCTTTCTCTTCTTTCCTCCTGGAGAGAAAAGGAAGAAAGATGAACTGGTGCAAAAGTTCAGCTAAAAAGAACAGGCCTTATAATACGTGGGTGCACCAGGGTGAAATTTTTGAATGCAGCTTTAGGGCCACTTTCACCAAGCTCAGTTGATCTAACTAGGTCAGTTAGTCCATTGGAATTGACCAATCGCATTTGTCATTTTGTTTGAAGAATTGACAGATTGGTCAATTTTGATGGATTAATTAGCCCAGTTAAGTTAACTGAGCTTGGTGACAATGGCCCTTAATGATACAAATCGACACAAACATTATTCTATCCTTCTTAACATTCCAGTGAGTAACAAAGATAGAATGGTACTTGTATCGATTTGTGTCATTAAATGAAAAGTAGGCAAGTTTTTTAATTCATTGATTGATCAATCACATTATGTACAAATGCAACTTTTATGGAGCAAAGTTGCATTTGCGCATAATGTGATTAATCTATCAATGAATTAAAAACTTACCTGTACTTTCGAATGAATTGTGTACTCTTCCCTGTTCACCACATGAAACGTACAACTTCATGTGTCTGTTTTTTTAGAACACTAACTGTTCGGTTGAAGCTCTTCCTTGAACAAGATGAGCAGTCAGCTGCAGACTAACTTGATCGCTGCTGCTATCGGAGCAACTATCGGCGTCATAAGCGCTGCTAGTATCTTTATATATCAGAAGGTCTTGGAGAAACAGCAACATGCCATGAAGAACGCCCACTTGGACGAAGTCGATCGTCGTCTCACCGAATTGCAAACAGAATTAGAGAGATTGAGGTAATAGTAATCGCTGTTTTTTTATTAATAATTTCTTTCATTGATATTTTAAGATGTATTGAATGTTCCTAAAGTATTTGATCTAATTCGGTTTCTTCTGCTAATCCTGATTAATTAAATACTAATGGTTTATTCAGATGTTTATATATATTATTTTATTTCTTGTCAATCTTTGCTTTGCGACTTAGAATGGCTCTTAGTTTACAATCTCTTACAATAATATCTTTTAAAGTTACAAAAAATATATTGTTGAAAAAAATTGTCTCCTCTTTTCTAACTTTAAAAGTTAAATTAAACTGAATTAATTCTTTTCCAGACGTTACATACGTAATTTTTTCATTGTTGTACAATTTGTAAGTCTGAGAATGTCAACAGATTGGAAGAACACATTTATATTTCTAGCTTTTTTCATTGGGATGAGTGTTAGACAAAGTTTAGACAAATATCTTCTAGGAACACTTTACGTTTTTGTTTAATTTAACTTCATCGGTATCTAATATCTGTCATTTTCAGAGCACAACAAAATCAACAAAGAAAGAAGAAGAAGCTTAATTCTAAACGTGATAATGATCATACATACACTACAACAGATAATGATACTGATGTGGATGGCTTTTCAACGGCAGCCGACGAAGAATTTTTCGACTGTTCGGACAGCGAAAATGGTATAAGTGACATTGAAAACAGGTCAGTTTAATATCTTTCGTTCAAGTGCATCGCGGTTATCACGGCTGTAAATTTAGTTTAATGTTAGCATTATTGCATCAAATCAATCATTTTGTATCAAAGATTTTTTTTGCTTGTATACACAAATTAATCTAGACTTCATTTAAATTATAATTGCATGCTAAAATTTGTTGAGTTTGCTTTACGTCTTTATCCGGAATTACAACGACTCTTACTCGAAACTTAAACGGGAAAGATTATACGCTTAGTGATGCAGGACAACTGAAGCCACCTGCCCTGGATTAGACCTTTCTGTTTTCGATGAGCATCACAAACAGGGTGAATATGAAGAAAATGATTACCTTGAACTACGAGATCTCGTAGACATGTATCCAAATAGTGTAGACATAGTATGGAGATATGCCAGAAGTTGTTACAAATATTCAAATTGCACCACTGACGCAAATGTAAAACAAGCTGTTGTTTGTGCAGGTATATAATTGAAATTATGCTCAATTTTGTGTATCATTAGTCGTCCATTTAACGGAGTCCTCATTTGCAATGAATTATTTTAGGAATTGACGCTTGCAAAAAGCTTCTCATTACACCAAATGCATATCTGCACAAATGGTGTGCTATACTTGTAGGTGTAAACAGTGATTTTTTGCCACTAGCAGAAAAAATAAAAAACGGTTACCGTTTCAAAGATCATGTAATGAATGCCTTGGAGATATGTCCGAATGATGCTGATCTGCATCATCTACTTGGCAGATTCAGATACGAGGTGGCTAACTTAGGTTGGATAGAAAGAAAGGTATATGTTTCACCATGGTTCGATGCTTCTCCAAACAGTGTCTCAGTTTACATGTGATTGGTTATTAATTAAGATTGGCCGAAGAATTCGCAAGTCAAAGAAAATGTATATAATGAGGTAGATTACACAATACTATAATTGATTGTTTTCTTATGTAGATTGCTGCGACATTATTTTCGGAGCCGCCAAGTGCCTCGTATGAAGATGCGATTAATAGCTTCGAAAAAGCAGAGGATTTTTCGGTTGAAGTGAATCTGGAGAACAGGCTGTTTCTAAGCAAATGTTACATAGCACTGGGCAACTACCAACTGGCCTGTCAGTTGCTAGAAAAAATTTGTGACGTATCAGTTACGAGTAAAGGCGATGAAAGGGTACAAAGCGATGCTCGTCAACTTCTCGCCAAGTACTCGGAATACCAATAACGGACGCATTAATTTTTATAGATCTGAGAATGTATCCATTCCATATATTACAAATACATTAATCGCGCGATGAACGTAATGAATTCGCGGCTGATGTAACTGATTCGCGGGGAAAGGAAAACTTATGAGTAATTCTAATTATAGAGGGAGGGAAATAGACAACACATAGTTTTACCTTGGACTTTTATATAGAAACTGTATAAAGTAACGACTGTTGTCTTAAAAGATACAAAGCGGCGCGGGATGTTTTAGGAAATAACTTTGTGAAATACATTTTAGAATTGTCATTTTATTGTATAAATTCTGGGCCTACCATGGTTTATTCTATTCGTTATATATAGACTTATAAATTTATTATGTTGGTTTTATCTTTCTATTGTCTGTTTCTTAATAAATGATACAACATGATAAATATTGTTGAGCGTAGTTATTAAATGATTACGAATTTCCATCGATTATGTCTCTCCTAATTTATGAAGAGTTTCTCTCTTCATCCTTTCTTTCCTTTCTTCTTCCCCCTCTACCCTTTCTCCTCCTCTGTCCTACATATAAGTTTATTCTGCAAGTATATATAGTAAAACACATATAAAAAATTAAAAGATATATATATATATATATAAAGTATATTTGACCTATCTTCACTAAGATTTTTTTAACACCATGTGTATATATATATATATATATGTATATACACATTTTTGTATACCTAATTTATATGATAAATATTTTTTTAGCAATGTGAACAATAAATATATTAAATCTAGATATTAAAAAGCTAAATGGAATAAAAATATTAATTGTACGAGAGAAGTTAATTATCAGTTACTAACGTTTCCAATCTCTTCATTGAGATGGTACAGCCTCTATGCTCAACAGATCAATAATGGTCCAACACAGCATCCTTTAGCTCGGTGGTAGAGGCTGGATAGAGAGCGAGGGTGAAAGGGGTAGAAAAGAGAAACCCCTCTAATAGAACCAGGAGGAAGCCAGTAAAGATACAATGTTTCATAAGGAAACAGTCAAGATCCAATGTCCGTAAAAGGTGTTTCATTTGCACGATACACATGTGAAAGTGAGTTTCACGGAGACGTCTATAATTTTTATTTTTTTTAGCGCAAAAATGTGAAATTAAATCTTTATTTTTATATGCATATCGGATGCGAAA